TATTGCCAATCCTCCTCCTTTTTTTTTTCCCCAAAGCCCCAGTAGATAGTTGTATGTCATAGTTGCACATCCTTCTAGTTGCTGTATGTGAGACGCGGCCTCAGCATAGCTGGAGAAATGGTGCGTCGGTGCGCGCCCGGAGATCCAAACCCGGGCCGTCAGTAGCAGAGTGCACGCACTTAACCGCTAAGCCACGGGGCCGGCCCCCCAGCTTGTCTTTGGAAGAACAGAATGGAAATACATAAAATCATCTTCTAGGTACCACTGAGAAATATGGAGAGATACCCCCCACATCCTACAATTCTCCTTACTCATCTTCTTCAAAGATCCTAAAAGACCCACATCTAAGTTGAGTGGAGTGAGATGCATTTGAAACAAGCACATTAGAAAGTCCACATCTGAATAAATGCTGCCTTCTTCAACACAGTCCTTTTGGGAGCTTGGGCAATTCTTCCAGTGGGGCAGTAATCTCTCCCTGCATCTGTGAAAGTCCTCTTGGGGAAGGAAACTGCCTCAGGATTTTGTCCCAAGTGACAATTCTCAATGTGATCACCCATCGTATTTTCTACACTTGGCTGAGTGACTTCCAGCCATTTCCAAAAATCATGTTCCTCCTTTAAGAGATGGAGGTTCCCCTCAATAATGCTGTTCAAGAGAATACACCCCACGCTCTGAAGACAATTCCCTACAATGTTTTGAGCAGTGGAGTCATCAGCACGTGACATAACACTTCCTCCGGGGTCTCTTTTGAAGGGGCCCACACTTGTTGAGTGCCCTGAGGTGCTTATTTTGAAAAACCATCTCTGTTGCAAAATCATCACATTTTCCCTTCTCTTCCTCATCCTTGTAGGGCTCCAAACTTTTTCCTAGCCTCACTAGGCCTCCTCCCCCATCCCTGCCAACCCCTGGCCCCACTTTCCCCAGCCCAACTCTCTTTCCTGTCTGCAGTTAGGCAAATGCCCAAGTTGCTGAATCTTCAAAATCCATCTTAGACCGAAAGGTGGGTGGGAGTAGGGACTCTAATGAATCCTGGAAAACTGTCTCAGCAGTTCTCATTCCCAAAAAGCCCTTCTCTGGTTCTTAGGGCAAGATGTCTGTCTTAGCCAATCACTTCAGAGGGTCCCAGGGACTCATTCCCCTTGGGCACCAGAACTCTTCCTGTATTGGGTGGGGGTGGAGGGTGGAGACCTGCCCTCCAGAGACCCATGTTGCCAGGTGCTGTCAACTGCCCACATCGCAAACATTGGATAGACACTATAGACAGCCTCCTCTTACATCCCCCCCCCACCTTATCACAGCACTTTAAAGTTTACAATATACTCTTTCATTAGTTCTTGGAATCCTCTCCACTGTTTCACAGATGAGGAAACCAAGCCTCAGAGAAGTAAAGTGAAACACTCAAGTTGATAATGTCAGCAAGTCAAACAAAGGTCAAAGTCAGATCTCTTGATTCCCCCATCTCACGCTTTTTTCAATACAACAGAAATTGGTCACACCTAAAGTAACTCTTCATTCAGATAACTATTTCTCCTAAGACAGCCAACAGAGACTCTCAGAGACCTTCAAGAGACTCTAGCATAATGCTAACCCATCAGTAAATGAAGTCTGCCCATAGCCAAGCACAAAGACCCAAAGACCCAATTCTAAGGCTCTGCCCTTTGCCCCAAGGTGTCTTTCTGTCTCTGTCATAGAATCCCCTCCCTAGTGGCTGCTGAAGGACAGCCAAGGAGGTGTGTCTTTAAACAGAGGAGCAGAATCTATCTCTGACTCTTCCAAGAAATGGAAGGAAGGATCCCCCGTCCCCAGCGCCTGTCCTAGGGGTCCCGCCCCCGTCCCTCCCCTACCTGCCAAGAGCTGCATCCAGGCGCAGATCTTGTAGACCGTGGCGGTGTTGCAGAAGAAGAAAAGCGCAAAGCAGGTGATACAGCCGAGGATCAGCACCATGGAGAGCAGCACGAAGAAGGCGGCCGCCTTGAAGGCGCCGGACGGGATGGTGCTGAAGTCGGTGAACGAGCCGCGGCAGGTGAGCTCGCGGCCCGCCAGCCCGCTGCCCACACAGTAGTGGAAGAGGCCGAAGTAGCCAGGCTTGGGGGTGCTCACACTGTCGCCCACCCAGTAGGGCTGGATGAAGACCACCACGTTGATGATGGCGAAGCAGATGGTGAAGATGGCCCATAGCACGCCGATGGCCCGCGAGTTCCGCATGTAGTGCTCGTGGTAGAGCTTGGAGGCCTCCTGTGAGGGCAGCATGGTGCCCGGGGGCGGGGCCGGCGGCAGCGGCGGCAGCGGCGGCTGGCGGGGGCCGCCGGCCCGGGACTGACCGCCGGGCTGCGGGGCGGGAGCTAGGGATGTATGCGAGAAGCTGCCCTGAGCCAAGGAACTCGCGAGGGCGGGGCCTGGGGCGGAGCTGGGGGTACCTGGGGGCTGGTATGGGGGAGCTAGGAGAGGGTCATGAGAGTGTTGGGGCGGTGTCTGGGGGGGACTGGCAAAGATCTCCAATTGGGGACCATGTGAAAGTTGGGGGGCTGGGATGAGGGGGCTGGCATAAGGATATGGGAGCTGGAAGGGGGGGGCTAGAAAGTGGTCATGGGAGAGTTGGGGAGGGGCTTTGGGAGCTGGTATTGGGGGAGTAACAGGAGACCAGGGGGAGATGGAATGGAGGCTGGAGACCGATATTGGGAGGATTAGCAGAGGGGCTGTATATAGGGAGCACGGAAGGGAATTTGGGGGTTGGTATTAGGGGTAGAAGGAGGTCTGGTATTGGGTGTCTAGAAAGGGGCTGTGGAGAGGGAAGTGGGCGCTTCTATGAGGAGGTCTTTAAGAAGGGAACATTAGAGGTAGGGGTACTGGGGGATTGGGAAGGTGCTATGGGGGCTGGGACAGGGAGTGGGGGCTGGTACGAGGGTCTAAGAGGGCGAAGTGGGGAAATCAGGATGAGGGTAGAGGGGAGTCGGGGGCTGGGACTACAGGGTCTGGACACGGGGCAAGGGGGTTGGGGGGTCCCTCAGAAGCCAGGGCTGGATGTAGGCTGGGAGGGAGTCTAGGATTGGGGGGCCGGGGCTGGGGAAAGAGGTTTTCCAGGCCAAGGTAGGGGACGGGAGACCGGGGCCGGCAGGCAGCCCGGGCCGCGAGGGGTGGGCGGTATGCAGGGGCTGCCCCCCGGGCGCTGGAGAGCGGCCGGGCCCGGGTAGGGCCGGGGGTGGGGGGGTGGCTGCTGTCCCGCGCCAAGGCCGGACGCGCGTGGAGGCTGCGGCCGCGGGGAGGGGGTGCGGGGAGACCAACCTGGGCCCGGTCCGGGGCAGCAGGTCCGGGACTGGCACGGCCTAGGCGCCGAGGCTCGGCGGTCCTAGCAGCGGCTGCCTCGGCCCAGGCGGCGGCCTCGGCGCAGCCTCCATCTTGCTCGGGTTCTCCCCGGGGCGCGCTCCCGCGCCGGAGCGCGCGCTCTCGTGCACCGGCGCGGCCCGGCAGAGGCGCGCTCCCGCCGCGGGCGCGCGGGGCGGGGCGGAACGGGGGAGGGGCTCTCCTGGTTCTGGCAGTCAGGGGGAAGCGCGGTCTCCGGCGTCCCCCAGCCAGAGCAATAAGCCCCCTCCACAGCAGAGCCCTCTGGTTTGGGGGACCCCCTTCTTCAGCCTGAGCTGTGGGGCTTCCCCGCAAAGCCCATGGGAATGGGGGAGGGGGCAAACAGGGTATTATCTGATAGGGTTTGAAGAGATCTCTTGCTCCCAAATTACCTTCCCTGCATCCTGTCACAGTGCCTCAGGTTGCACCATTACGCTTTCAGTCCTTTGGGTCTTGGAGGCTTTGAAGGCTCCCAGAGTCTCCTAGGAAACTGCCAACACCTCTAAGAAAGGGAACCCTCTAAACTGTTAGCAGCCCACGCGGTGGGGATTTGTTGGCCGCCAGCACAAGGAGCGGGGCCTGGGGAACAGGTCCCAGAGTGAGTATCGGGATGGAGAGAAGGATGCTGGGAAGGTGTTGGTTTCCCTCCCTACACTCTCCCCAGTGCCTGGCATGAAGTGCGCACATCATAAAGATGTGTTAAAGAACAACATCCAAGTCCAGGCTCAAGGTTAGGCCAGAACACCCCGGGAGCACTCCTAGGGAGCCTGTGTGGGTCCTTTCTTTCCCTGCAGGGAAATAGCTTTTGGCTTAGGATCTGCCAAGATGATCTGGGTTGGCACCCAGACAAATTCTGACTATTACTTACTATCTCTGTGACCTTGAACTTGTGGTCTCTGAACCTGTTTCTCTATCTTTAAAGTGGGCAGCTTAAGCCCCACTTCACACGTAGTAGGGGGAGGGGTTCCAAACACTGGACACCACACAGGCGTCAGTCTGATGAAATTAACATTTATCTGCAAAAAAAAATTCATGTAATGTTGCCAACTGTCTTTTTTCCACGGGGGAGAGGGACTGCTCTTTTTTCCTGAGATTATGTACTTCCTGTTTTCTGAGTGTAAAAATTCCCTTTTTTAAAGAAATGGAGATGATAGTTAATGGAAGTTTTTTTTTTTTTTAGTGCCCTTCTTTGGCAAAATAAAAAATAGGCGGGCCGCCCCGTGGCTTAGCGGTTAAGTGCGCGCACTCCGCTACTGGTGGCCCGGGTTTGGATGTCTGGCGGGCAGACACGCACCACTTGTCTGGCCATGCTGAGGCCGCGTCCCACATACAGCAACTGGAAGGATGTGCAACTGTGACATACAACTATCTACTGGGGCTTTGGGGAAAAAAGGAGGAGGATTGGCAATAGATGTTAGCTCAGGGCTGGTCTTCCTCAAAAAAAAAAAAAAAAAGGCAGTGTTATTTCCACCTCAAGGTTTTAAAAAATTTTATGGGTCCATGAAATCCCACAATTTGGGGACCTCAGACCAATGTGAGGTCATCTCACCCGAGCACAGAGTGCTCAATAAATTTGGTTTCCCCTTCCATTGGTTCCTTGCAGAGGGCATCCTGGCTGTCTCCTGAGAGCCCTAAGATCCTAGAATCATGAGCTGGAAGGGGCTCTGGAGAGAGTCTCATTCTACACCTTCTCCCACTTGACAGATGGAGAACAAAGGCCAAAGAGAGGGATTGACTTCTACAAAGAGGTGGACTGTTCCTGTCAATTAGACTGATCAACCTGATTCACAAATTTATTTGTCTGTGCAATAAGTATGTGATAGGCCCATGTTATGTGCCAGGCCCAGCAGCATGCCAGGCCCTGGGGAGAAGATGGAGGGTAAAACAGACCTGGTCTCTGCTTTCCTGGAGCTCACAGCTTTGTGGGGAAATAGAAGATGCTAGGAGGATGGAGCAGGCAAGTGGTCATCCTCAAAGAGCACCTCAAAGTCTCCTGTGTGTGCTCCTGGTTGGTTCTGTTCTGAACATAGCAAGTTACTGGAGCCAGAAGTTCCATCTTTTCTCCTAACTCTGCCGTGAATTATTGCCTTTTATCCTATCCTGCTGAGCCAAGCTAGGCAGTCCAGGAAAAAAACCAGAGAAGTCCACTTACCACTCTCTCTCGAGGCAGGACCTGAGAGTTCTTGCTAAGATGGGCTTCCAGTTCCTCACTGATTGCTCTATTCTAGTTCTGCAGAGCAAAGGCGCCCTGTAGAGGTCTGCCTACTAACTCCACGGCTTCTGACATCAGTACTTTTTCTTTAAAGAAACTCTTCTCCCCGTCACTCAATCCCTGGGTCTAGTGGGACTCACCCCCAACCACCACCATACTCTTCTCCAGAGGGGGGCAAATGATCAGGCCTGGACAATGAGAATACTACATTGTTCTAGACACAATGATTGGTTCAGCAGTGGGTCCATAAGCCAACCCAAATAGTTGAGAATGATACCCAGGGGTCATTTGTTGCAGATTACAAGAAAGAGGTGTTCTCTTTCTACTGAGTTTGTTGAGCTGGGGGAATTGTAAGCTTCAGCTACTGGGAGCCATCTTTGACACCTCAAGCAGAGAGCTTGTCTAAGAATAAGATGCACACAGAGGGAAGCTACGAAATGGAGAGAGACAGTCCTGATGACATAGTTTGAGCACCTGGATCCATCCATGCCTGAAGACTTATTTCTGGATTGTTCTGTTAGGTGAGCCAATAAATTCAGTTTTTGTTCAAGCCGATTTGAGTTGGGTTTTTATCACTTCCAATAAAAATAGTCCCAAATAACTTACATACATCCCCCACAAGAAAGCAGGACTGGTATATTGGATTATTGATATTGCAGAAGAATGCCTAAATAGGTGAGCTATCCTGACATACTGGAACCAAAAGACCAGAATTTGAGTCCCATCTCTGCCGCTGATTAACTGTGTGACCCAGGATGATGATGCTACTCCTCAGAGCGTTATTTTCTTGGTTTATAAAATGGAGAAAAACATACTTCCTTCCTGTAGATGTTGTGAGGATAAAAAGAGATAATGGATGGAAAAAAAGCTTTGTAAACTGAAAAAGCTTTATCACTGTAAGTGACTGTCATTAAATTTTAATAAGTGGCTTGCCCAAGGAGTAGAAATTGCAGTCATATTGGAAAGGCACTTGCTGAGCTGTGAGTAGCCGGGACAGAATGTCTTCTTGTTTTAAAGACTAACCTTGGAGCAGTTACAGATAGAGAGTGAGAACTCTCTATGGGAAGAACTCTTTTTTTTTTTTCATGAGGAAGATTGGCCCTGAGCTAACATCTGCCAATCCTCCTCTTTTTGCTGCTTGAGGAAGACTGCTGCTGAGCTAAGATCTGTGCCAATCCTCCTCTTTTTGCTGAGGAAGACTGGCCCTGGGCTAACATCCATGCCCATCTTCCTCCATTTTATATGGGACGCCGCCACAGCATGTCTTGACAAGCGGTGCTATCCAAACCAGCGAACCCCGGGCCGGCGCAGCGGAGCGCGCACTTAACCACTTGCGCCACCGGGCCGGCCCGGGAAGAACTTCTTAATGACCCCAGGGAGTGGCCAGACCAGAATGGAATAGTTGTGGAATGAGGATGGGGAGTTGTGGGATCAAGGTAGATCATAAGGGAAGGATGATGTTGATCTGAGCCCCTGGCTGAGAAGAGAAGCCCCAGTTCCAGCCAATATCCTAACAAAGAAAGATTTGTAACTTGCCAGATACGTTTGTGCCTAAGTTGTATGTTTGGTTGCATTGAACAGTTACTAAGCTCTTACAGCATTCTAGGTCTCCTGTTCTTTGCTTTACATGTGTTGTCCCATTTAATCTTCACAATAACTCTATGAGATAGTGTTATGGGCTGAATTGTAGCCCTCATCCCCCCAATTCATATGTTGAAGTCCTAACA